GGCCCTATACAATTTCACACATTTACAACCTTGAGGTTTCTTTCACTGTTGCTCGCTGCTGCACGACCGTGTCCCATTGTTGTGTCTAATCTTTTAGATTTTTCATGCACATGTATAAATAAAAATAAAGTTTATAAATAAAGTATTTCTTTAATGTTGTAAATCCCTTGTTCACATTTAAACAGGTTATAATAGTATTAGAGTAGGTTGGACACTAGGTGGTGCGTTGGGGTAATTTTCACTATGCAGTTGTCTACATAATGCAAGGCTGTCTAATTCTAAACTTTAAAACATACATTTATTTTTATTTATTTTAATTGCACATTTAAATTGAACTGAAGGAAATTATAAATGTACATGCTTAAGGATTATTTTAACCAAACATGAAGTGTGCCTGTGTGGAAAGTGACGAGAAAAACGAGCGAGCGCCATTTAAAAAAAATTAAAATAGGCCCTGTATAATATGCACTGTTGCTTAATATTAAAATTATAGCTTCAGATGCATGATATTTGTAGGGCCCTATGAAATCCGTTTTATTTTTCCCAAATTAGCCTAAGTTTTATTTTTTCCAAAATCGTTTTTTCCGTTTTAATTTTTTCTGGATTCCGTTTTTTTTTTTTCGTTTAAATTTTTCTGGATGATTATATTAAATTTTAACAAAAAACATGTCTAATTAATTAAAATCATGAAACTTGTTTAATTTAACAGCAATTTAGGCCTATTAAAAGTTAAAACATTGCATTCTTAGGGCCCAAATTCTGCCTTCTTTTATTTTTTATTTTTCTTTTCTGTATTCCATTTTAATGGTTTAATCAAAAACATATCTAATTAATTGAATTCATAAAAACAACTTAATTTATTAATTTGTATACAATAACAGGGCCCTATGAAATTTTAATTTGATTTATTTTTTTGAAATTCTGTGTTGTGTATTTTCATTTTTTTGGTAATCAAATGAAGGCGAAAACATTAATCTATCTTTTATTCCAATGAAAATTAAACAAACCCTTAAATTTTTGTACATTCAAAATGCTACACAGCAGAAGTTTACTGTGTAACGAGCAATGTCACGGAATTCGTCAAATATTGAATGAATAAATCAAATGCAATTCAGTACACTTCAATCAAACCGCGATATGGACTAGTGTATGTGAATATTAAATGGCAAAAATACTATTTAGCTACTACAGACGACAACCGCGAGCGTTGCGCGAGCTTAAATAGCAAACTAGCAAACGAAAGCGCCGTTCATTCCGTCACGTCCGCACTGAACGCGCATCTCGCATATAAAAAGCATTTTAGGGGGCCCTTGGCTTTTGGGGGCCCAAGGCGGTCGCCTACCTTTGCCTAATGGTTAAGTCCACCTCTGAGTATATGTTGACAGTATCTTCATTTTTGGGTGAATATCCTTTTAAGATCTCATCATATAGGCTATAAGGATCTCATATAGCCTAACACATGCTTTATCTTTAACTATCAACATTCATTTAAGACACAAATAACTGTGTTTACGAGGATACTCGCAAAGACGGACATTTTGACACGTAACTGTGTGTATTTGAGCGTTTAAGCACAAGGAGCGAAAGTTTAGTCAGTAACACGAGCAGGTGTATCAGGTAGAAACAGTTTAAACGCATGCATTTACCAGAATTAATTCTGCCCCGCAGTGTAATGTCCATGAACAGCATAAACCATTTGTTTTAAAACCTGCTTAAAACGCCTTGAAATGAGAAGCTTAGACTAGGCTACATCATGATGCGCTTCAATCAACGATTGATATATTTCTACCGGATTATCTCCCAGTTCTTAAATGAATATAGTTAATCAAACACAAAAACAATATAAATCCAGTTAATAATCAAACTAACCTAAAATCTGTGTGGACGATGCCACTGTTTTTATCTGCTCCGTGAGCCCGGTTCACTACCACTCCATCATCAGCTTTAGTCAAATAACCTGATAGCTGGGGAATTAACTAAGTCATGTTTTTTATGTTGTTTGTATTTGAAGTTTTTGGTTTTTTGAGCCCCTCTCTCTCTTTTAGAATTGCTGACATTTTTACTTATTGAATGTTGTTCCTTGCGCGACCATTTCCAGATTACTCAGAACAAAGTGAAGAGAGGTGAATGCAGACATACTGGGCAGCAATCACCTGATAGATACCTGCGCATATCCTTCAAAAGTCAAATATAGAATAAATGCATTTGATTGGTAAACCAAATTCAGACTTTATGTTTCAATCTCAAATGGTAATGCATGGAATTTACGGGAAAGCTCAACTAAGTAACAGCGCTCAAACACAAAAACAATATAAATCCAGTTAATAATCAAACTAACCTAAAATCTGTGTGGACGATGCCACTGTTTTTATCTGCTCCGTGAGCCCGGTTCACTACCACTCCATCATCAGCTTTAGTCAAATAACCTGATAGCTGGGGAATTAACTAAGTCATGTTTTTTATGTTGTTTGTATTTGAAGTTTTTGGTTTTTTGAGCCCCTCTCTCTCTTTTAGAATTGCTGACATTTTTACTTATTGAATGTTGTTCCTTGCGCGACCATTTCCAGATTACTCAGAACAAAGTGAAGAGAGGTGAATGCAGACATACTGGGCAGCAATCACCTGATAGATACCTGCGCATATCCTTCAAAAGTCAAATATAGAATAAATGCATTTGATTGGTAAACCAAATTCAGACTTTATGTTTCAATCTCAAATGGTAATGCATGGAATTTACGGGAAAGCTCAACTAAGTAACAGCGCTAATAAGTGGGGGGCGTGGTGATCTGCATTCCAGTCAATCTACTCCACAGCCAATCACGGGCCCCCTCCTTGCTCGGGCCCCGGGGCTTCAGCCCCACCTAGCCCAATGGTGAAAACGGCCCTGGCTGTAGCACCTCAGTTCAAGTGGCTCGTGAACTAATCATCTCTTCGTGTTTACTAGTTATAGCACGAAATAAACATGAATGAACAAATTTTGTTTCAAACGCAGAAACGTGTAAATAAATACACATAATTTTTCAAGTTCAAGTCCACCGTCGTTAATATTTTCCCCTGTCTGTGTCTGGTTCGTTTGTTGGCCAGAGTGGCGGATTCGTTGTGATAGGTCAGATCGCCTGTCAATCAAACTCCCAGCAAAGGATCAGTCGAAACAGTTTAAATTCAACTTGGAACATTTATTTATTACTAAAAATTGGTCAAAAATTACAATTGAGACTTAAGTTAAAAACTTTAAAGACTCTTTATAAAGACTTTATAAACTTCATTAA